GCCTGGCAGCAGCGGTTACTGCGCTGGGCCCTGCCTGTGCTCCCTGCAAGGAGGGAGCCCGTCCAGGGGCAGGAGGGAGGGTGGAGGGAGGGAGGGAAACGCATGAGCCCGACTCCAGCCCGCAGGCTGAACCGGGCAGCGGGTGAGACGAGCTGCAAAGCAGGGGAGAAGCAGAGCCACACACAGAGCCCCCAGGCAGCCTCAGCTCTGCGAGATCTGGCAGCAAGACCCTGCTGGGAGCAGAGAGGAGAGACCACCTCCTCTGCTTGCCACTGTCGCCCAGCTCTCACCTGCCCGTATGAGATGGAAGCGATGGCTCCTGCTGTGTATCTGCCCACTCCCGGCAGCAGTTTCTGCAGGTCCTCAGCCGTCCTGGGCATCCTGCCAGCCAGCTGGGACACAACCTGCAAGAGAAGGGACGCCCAGGGTCAGAAGAGCAGCCCGGGTGCGTATGTGTGACCCATTTTGCCCATGGTAGAGAGGGATCCCAGTCTCTGCAGCCCTACACCTGAGCACCGTCTCCAGCACACAGCCGCAGGGAGGCAGGGCAGGCTGGAGCCAGCACCACCTCAGGGGCTGCACAGGGGTTGGGAAATGCCCCCTGCACCTCAGCACCCAGGCACCTTCTTTGCTGCCTCTTGCAGACGTTTCCCTCGTGAGTAGTAGCCGAGTCCTGCCCACAGCTCGTTCACCTCCTGCTCCAAGAGACACGATGTGGTGTTAGATGGGGCAGCGGGAAGGGCCACGAGCGCAGGAGAGCGTCCAGCCCCAAGTAACACTCACCTCCAGGGATGCCTCCGCCAGCGCCTGTAGCGTCGGCCATTTCTACGGTACAGAGGGAAGGGAAAAGTTAGGAGCAAGCAGAGCCGTGCTCTGCAGCTGGGGAAGGGCCACTGGCAGTGGCCAAGATCTCCAAAACAGGGGGCTCCAAGTACAGGACGAGGCCATGGGGAACAGTCACCTGCATCCAGCGGTTGTAGTAGTCGATCACTGTAGCCACCTGTGTCTGCTGGAGCATGATCTCAGACACCCACACTGCAGGGAGCACAGGAGGGATCAGGGCGGAGATACCAATGCCACTGACCCCACCCGGGTGCTGCAGCAGCCCCTGACTCACGGGACCCCTTTCCAAGCCCCTCCTTCCCCACGTGCTGCCCCACCAGAGCTGGATCTCAGCCCCCCTAGAGCCTTGCAAATGGGGCTTAGAGCCTCTCGTGGCCACCCTGAAGGGCCAGGCAGCTTGTTCAGAGGATGCTGACCAAAGCCACCAGTTCCTCACCAGCGTGTACTGTGCACCCATGTCACGAAGCAACACAGAGGCACTTCTCAGTGCCCCCGGTGCCCTCCTTGCCCCTCACCTGCATACGCCCGTCTGTCAACATCCAGCTCACTTGCAGCCTGAAACAGGAAGACAGAGTGGGAGCAGAGTGACCCAAGACCCCTCTTGCAGAGGGGATGTGCTCCTCACTAGGAGGCACATGGGCCAGGGAGCACTGAGCTCCACGTTGGTCCAGAAACAGTAGCGCAGTTCCCCTTGCGAGGGGCTCTACGGGCCCAGCCTGGTTCAAACAGCCACCTAGGATAAAAGCCAACAGGCACAATTGAGGACATAGGAGTCCCCAGAGAACGGAGATCAGTCACTTCCATCACCGTTGGCTGCTCCTGCTCCACAACACCCTCCCACCCCTTTGCCAAGCTGTTGCATCCTTACAAAGCGTCTGGAAGATTTTAGGCCCACCCGCTCCCCTCCCATTTTACCTTTGCACACCAGTACCCAAAGATACTCAAACAGGTGAGAAAAGCAAACCGGGCACATAAAATAAAATCACTCACTCTGCATTTGGAGCACTATGTAAAAACCTGCAAAAACATTTCCCCCCCAAATGCTCACAAGTTCTGAATTCAGGTTGACCAAGCAATAGCCAAAGCACCACCCCCAGACACAGCACAAGGGACTTCGTGAGTTTTCTACAGCAAGAGGTTGCCTTAGAGGTTCAAAGTCCCAACAGAGGAGCTGTCCCAGACCCAAGTCCCTTTGCACAGGAACAAGTTGCAGACAAATTTAAACATCACAGAAGGGCCACACAGGTCTCAGCACTACTTAGATGGATGCCTGCTATAAAGCTAGCGTCCAATCCACACTTTCCCAGTGCCTGGGTAACTATTTGTCGTTGGGCATAGTACAGAGCAGGTAAGGGCACTAGCTGAAACTATGCAGGCTTGAAACAACTCTAAGGAAAACCTTCTTCATGCAGCACTCACTGCTGCAGAACACCACAGAGGCAGGAATAAAACACTCCCTTAAAGCAGTGGGACCAGATTCTGTGCTACGGCAAACCTGCCTGCCCTTACCAGCGTCCTCCAGGGAAGGTCCCGCTTGCATTTGTCATACCAAGCGAGCAGGTTCCTGCGCAAGGCCTCAATCTCAGCTGCATCACTGAAGAGATGCTGTGCAGATGGCTCAGCGGGTGCTGGCACAGGGCCCCCTGCCAAGAGGGCGGCGCAGGGTCAGGGCACAGGAGGGGCTGGGAGAAGGGGCTCGGCAGAAGGGAGTCCGACTGCAGCACCACGGGGCCCGAGGCAGGAGCCCCACAGAGCC